AAACTCCTTATCATTGGACTGCTTGTGTCATAAGCAGGATATCATGTCTAGGGCAACTTTGATGTCACTAGAAAGTAGAGAAAAGCAGGGTAGTAGTTAAAAAAAAAAAAAAGTAGAAAGATGACTCAAACTACATGAGCTTTTCCTCCTTCCTGTCCTGATCCTTCTTTGGGTGTATTGAATTTGCCATTTCAAGCTTAACAATGTGTGAAATAAAGCCTGCCTTTTATAACATTGGTTTTCAAACAGCACAAGTAGTGGGATGTTCTTCTGGAGTCCTGTACTCAAGTGTCTTCAAAGTTTCTGACACTTTGCATGATCCTGCTTTTTGGGGGATTTTACTTTGTTTGGGTTTTTTTGTAAAGCAAGATGGTTAAACCTGTGGAATCTGCTATTTCTTTAGTTAATCGGTCTCCTGACACAGCATTTAAGTATTGTGCTCTCTTTTGTTCTTTGACTAACCTTTGATTGCACTTGAAGGGGGGCTTAAACAACAAAACAACCAAAAACCAAAGACATGCTCTAGGTTTGTGGCAAGAGCAGTTTATTTAAATTTTTTACCCAAAAGCTAGTGAGGTGGGAGCAGTACAATGAGAAAGACAAACTTCAGTCTATTGGACCTGATCTTCCTGTGGTACTCTCTGTAATCAGTGAGGAGTGAGAGGCCTCTCATGGGGCTGGTTCAGAGTTTTGACTTGCCCTCCAGAGGAGCCTCTTTTTCTTCTCTGAGTACAGGAGGAGCTGAGAGATTGGACTCCCTAAGTTGAAGTTAGCCTTTGTGATAGCTCTTCTGAGTAACTTTGCTACTTGGTGATGTACAAAATTTCCTCTTGAATAAGATACTTTAAAGAACATAGCATGCTCTTCAAGATGGTTGTCAGTAGTTGGTAACTGGTAAATGTTCTCCTAATAGCATGTCAGGCTTTAAAGTTCACTGTGAGTAGCCTGGTATTAAACCTCTTTGAGTCTTTACAGCTCTGCTAAACCATCGTTTCATAGTGCTGACTGGTAGCGCATGGACAGGATTATTTTTAACCCCTGTGCTAACATTCTTCACTGTCTTCATAGCTTCAGTGAAATTTTCTATACTCAACAGCAGTTCTGAATTTGCCTTTTGCCAGTTAACGCCATTGCAGGAAATGTGTTTAGCCTAGACGCTTCAAATGCTGTTACATTTTAGATTTGTTTTTTAAAAAGATCTTTAGACTTAATAAAACATTTGAATTAAAAAGGTTTCAGTTGTGCCTTAATACTTTATCTACAAAGTTTTTAATGTGCTGTTTCTGCTGTATGTTTAAAAGTATTTTTACAGCCACCATCTTGTAACCTTCAGCACCTCTCACCTGAAGTCTCTAAAACAGCTGAGATGCAGATTATCTGTTAGCTAAACTACAGTGAACCTGTTCTGAAGGGCTAATTCCCTAGCTTTTCATCAGTGACTGTTTATGTTATAAGAATCCAGACTGTGGAGGGGGAAGCTGACTGTTAAGCCTAGAACTAAAGTAATCGTTCAGCAACAGGAAAAGGGGATATCCAAGCT